CCAGGCCGGGGGTCGGCCACCTGCCCCAGGGGGCGCCGCTGCGGGAGCAGAGCGGCCCCGCGTCCGGGGAGGCCCGGCCCGAGCCCGGCCCGCCGCCCCGAGGCCCCGGCGGCCACCCTCCCGCCCCCGCACCCGCGCAGGGCAGCCCCCCCCTCACAAGTGGGGAGCAGGCCCCCCTCACAAGTGGGGAGCAGGCCCCCCTCACAGGTGGGGAGCAGGCCCCCCTCACAGGTGGGGAGCAGGCCCCCCTCACAGGTGGGGAGCAGGCCCCCCTCACAAGTGGGGAGCAGGCCCCCCTCACTGGTGGGAAGCAGCCCCCCTCACAGGTGGGGACAGGCCCCCCTCACAGGTGGGGACAGGCCCCCTCACAGGTGGGGACAGGCCCCCCTCACTGGTGGGGAGCAGCCCCCCTCACAGGTGGGGACAGGCCCCCCTCACAGGTGGGGACAGGCCCCCTCACAGGTGGGGACAGGCCCCCCTCACTGGTGGGAAGCAGCCCCCCCTCACAGGTGGGGACAGGCCCCCTCACAAGTGGGGAGCAGGCCCCCCTCACAGGTGGGGAGCAGGCCCCCCTCACAGGTGGGGGACAGGCCCCCTCACAGGTGGGGAGCAGCCCCCTCACAGGTGGGGACAGGCCCCCTCACAGGTGGGGACAGGCCCCCTCACAGGTGGGGGACAGGCCCCCTCACAGTGGGGACAGGCCCCCTCACAGGTGGGGACAGGCCCCCTCACAGGTGGGGAGCAGCCCCCCCTCACAGGTGGGGAGCAGCCCCCCCTCACTGGTGGGGAGCAGGCCCCCCTCACAGGTGGGGACAGGCCCCCCTCACAGGTGGGGACAGGCCCCCCTCACAGGTGGGGAGCAGGCCCCCCTCACTGGTGGGGACAGGCCCCCCTCACAGGTGGGGAGCAGCCCCCCCTCACAGGTGGGGAGCAGCCCCCCTCACAGGTGGGGAGCAGCCCCCCCTCACTGGTGGGGAGCAGGCCCCCCTCACAGGTGGGGACAGGCCCCCCTCACAGGTGGGGAGCAGGCCTCCCTCACAGGTGGGGACAGGCCCCCTCACAGGTGGGGACAGGCCCCCCCCTCACAGGTGGGGGACAGGCCCCCTCACAGGTGGGGACAGGCCCCCCTCACAGGTGGGGGACAGGCCCCCTCACAGGTGGGGACAGGCCCCCCTCACAGGTGGGGACAGGCCCCCTCACAGGTGGGAACAGGCCAGGCCCCCTCACAGGTGGGGACAGGCCCCCTCACAGGTGGGAACAGGCCAGGCCCCCTTACAGGTGGAGCAGAGCCCCAGCCCCAGGGGCCTGCCGGTGACCCAGCTGGGAGCCCGGAGCTGGCTTCCAGCGCAGCTTTTCCTTGTTCACTTATCTTTTATTTCCCCCAAATCAGACTGAACTCCTCTTAGGGTCCACAATCCAGTAAGTCTCCCCAGATGCCTAAAGATAGAAGAAAATAAGATGGGGGGAGGGACCGAGGAGGTAACAGCAGCTGCAGGTGGGGGAGGTTTCCCTGCCGTCGGGGTGGGGGGTGGGTGGGTGGGGGCCGCACACGTGACGTCCCCGCCCATCCTTCGGGCAGATCCTCTTCCTCCCGGTGTTACCTGAGGCCCCTAGGGCAGAGGCAGAGCGGGGCCGGAGGAAACCCAGGCCTCATGGCCGCAGGCCGGGGGTTGAGCCCCGAGTGCCCGCGGCCAGGTCCTGCCCCGGGGACTGGCTCTCCTGCCCCCGCGAGGCCCCGAGGCCTGGCTGCCCTGCTCTCCCGCCCGTGCGGAGGGGGTGGCCAGCGTGGGGACCCCGGGCCACCCGGGACGGGTCCCCTCCATTACCTTCTTCCTGAGCACCCAGAGGGCTCTGTGCGGGCCTCTTCACCTCTGGTTTGTGTTTAACGGCCGGGGTTAGGTGTGGCCCGGACACCATGGGAGAGGCCAGCTGGGGTTCACCCCGCTTGGCAGGTGTGGAAGCTGAAGTGAAGAGAGCAGTCAGTGTGGCGGAACCGGGAGGAGGAGGATTGGAATCCCGGATTTTGCCAAATTTTTGGTCACTGATATTTTTTCCTTTCATTCAGCAAGCTTTTTGAGCGTGACATATGGCACAGTCCCAGTGGTATGGGATGGAGATGACAGCGGTTGTATTTCCTCTGGCCTCCGGGCCTTGTAGGCCTTCAGCTCCGGGAGGGACCACTGTGCACGGAGGGGGCACACAGGAGTGCTCAGCCCTCCGTGCATCGAGGGCTCACACAGGAGTGTCCAGCCCTCCATGCATCGGGGGCTCACACAGGAGTGTCCAGCCCTCCATGCATCGGGGGCTCACACAGGAGTGTCCAGCCCTCCGTGCATCGAGGGCTCACACAGGAGTGTCCAGCCCTCCGTGCATCGAGGGCTCACACAGGAGTGTCCAGCCCTCCGTGCATCGAGGGCTCACACAGGAGTGTCCAGCCCTCCGTGCATCGGGGGCTCACACAGGAGTGTCCAGCCCTCCGTGCATCGAGGGCTCACACAGGAGTGTCCAGCCCTCCGTGCATCGAGGGCTCACACAGGAGTGTCCAGCCCTCCGTGCATCGAGGGCTCACACAGGAGTGTCCAGCCCTCCGTGCACGGAGGGGGCACACAGGAGTGTCCAGCCCTCCGTGCATCGGGGGCTCACACAGGAGTGTCCAGCCCTCCGTGCACGGAGGGGCCACACAGGAGTGTCCAGCCCTCCGTGCATTAAGGGCTCAGAGGAGTGTCCAGCCCTCCGTGCATCGAGGGCTCACACAGGAGTGTCCAGCCCTCCGTGCACGGAGGGGGCACACAGGAGAGCCCAGCCTGGATGAGAACTGGAGGGGCCCGTGGGGAGCGAGGCAGTGTGTGGTCCCAGGTGTAGGCCAGGCCGCTGGATCGGGGAGGAGGGGAAGGGGCGGGCATCCCAGGGAGAGAGTTTCTCCTCCAGACCCCGTGCCCGGAATAGGAGGAGGGTCTGAATGGTGGAGAGCTTGAACCGTGAGGGTAGGAAAAGGTTGGTGTTGCCAAAACATGGATGATTTCTTCTTCACCTTAGTGAGCCTGCTGGTGGGAGCAATCGCCTCTCCTAGGGTCCCCGTTGCTGGGAACAGGCCTGGGAGGCAGGCTACAGCCTTCCCCTCTGCCCCTGGGGCACCCCTAGGCTGACGAGGGTGGGTGCCTGGGGGAGCCCCTCGTATTGGTTTCAGCCGGCAGCCCCTCTGGGTTGTAGGTGCTGCCTCTGGGCCCTGGCCGACCCGGAAGACGTCCCAGAGAAGATGCCGTTCCTCCTCTCCAGCCCTGTGGCCCAAGACCGCGCGTGGCCATGCGGGCTCCAGGCGGACACCTGTGCACCTCCCTCCTCAGGAAGCCCCTCACTCCCTGCATCCCCCAGCACTCCCCCCCCCCCCCCCCCCCCGGCGCCATCCCTTGTGTGCCTTCCCGCAGAAAGCCTGGTGTCTGGCCTTCGCTGTCCTCCCCCAGACGGAAGCTCAGTGTGCACCCGGGCACGGCTGTGCCTCCCCTTTCGCTGAGCCTGGCACGGAGGAGACACTCAGTAATGGTTAAGTGAATGTGCCCGGGAGGTGAATAAAGATACAAAGCGTAGCTGTGTGTCAGAGACTCGGTAGACACCTTTAAAAGACGAAAATAGCAGCAGCCTGACACGGGCCAGCATTTCCTCCTCCCAGCGGTTCAGAGCAGTGAGACCTGCTGGCAACTCCCAAACCCAGCGAGGCTGGCTGGCTGGTTTGTCTCCTCCCGGGACCCCACGGGAAACTGGTTCTCAAGAAAAGGGACCTCCGGGTGCATGGGATTTTGGTTTTATCTTCCGCCGTGTTCTTCCTGTGTGGTGATTTTTGGTGGACTTTCCATAGTAAAGCACAGCTGGCACCCAGTGGAAGGTGACTCCACTGCAGGCCCTCGGCTGGGTGCTCATGCTGTCACCCCCGAGGTGGGCATAGCTCCCCTGTTCACTAAAGGAAGGCAAGCCTCAGCTGGCTCCAGGGAATTGGGGCATTTGCCATGGTTCCACTCTTGTTCCCACCACTCTGCTGCCTCACATACTACAAACAACTCCTTCCTCATGAATTCTCACGGCTCTGAGCGCAGTAACTACAGCTGGCTCCTGTTAAAGCAGGAGTTCCTGCCTTGTGGGTAGGGGTGGGGATTCATTTAAGAATCTTGATGAGCTATGAAGACCCCTCCAGATCATACACATCCTACACATGCCATTTTGCAGTCTCAGGGGATGAATGGATCCCTCACTGCCCGCGGGCCCCGATTAAGAATTAGCCCTCCCCGCCACAATGAAGGGCAGGCAGTGTAGCCGTGTTCTAGATCAGTGAGACGAGAACGGAAGCCACGGCTGCTAGGGAGGGGCGGCTACTCCTTGTCTGCACACGGCACTCGCTGGGTGGCATGCCCTGTGCCTCCAATGCCAGCTTAGCCCTAACCCCATGAGAAAACCACCGTGACTAAGTGCACTCCTGGGCCACGTGTGTGCAGGGCTGCTGTGGGGGGTGGGGAGGGGGGGCGAGAGGGGCTCCCAAAGGAAGCGCTTGTCCTGGACAGATGGGAAGCAGGGCCCAGTTCTCTACAACTTTTCGGAAACCGTGTGCCTGTGACTGATGAGCATGATTCAGGTTCACATTTGGAACTGCTGTGAGCCCCAGTGTGTGTGTGTGGAAAGCCGGGTCCTGGTGCTTCGCGGTGACTGTGCACCTGAAAGGACATAGTCAGGTTCAGGGCTCAGTACTTGACCTCTGCGGGAGAGCAGGACCCCTGAACTCTCTGTGCCCGGTTCGCTTAGGGCCGAGATCGGCAAACTGAGGCTCGCGAGCCACATGCGGCTCTCTGGCCCTTTGAGTGTGGCTCTTCCACGGCGTGGATGAGTCTATTTTGAAGAAGTGCGTTAGAAGAAGTTTAAGTTTAAAAAGAAATTTCAATCGTTGTACTTATGAGTTTGGCTCTGTTGACTAATGAGTTTGCCAACCACTGGCTTAGGGAATTGGAGTTGACTTGAACACCAGGATTATCTTCATAAGGACTTGCCTTTGGTTTCTGTGCTGCAGGCCAGTGTTTACCAGCGTCCGTGTTCATGAAAATATGTGCAAGTCGAAACGACATGTATGGGGATGTAAAGGACATTTTCAAGATGTCCTCTGGGTCTGGTGTGTGCGAAGCGGTTTGCGGGATGATGAGAGCCTGGGATGGGAGGGCCATCTTTCAGGATCTGCCTTCCTGTTCTGACCACTGAGCTCCATATTGGTTAGTCCTCCGGAGAAGTCAGAGTGTATGGACCTTATGCCTTTGGTCATAAGAGACCAGGCGAGGGGTAGGGCGTGGCCACTGAGCCAGGTCATTGGGGTCCTTACTGAAACCAGGTACGCCTTTGTCTTTCCTCCTTTATAACCAAGTGAGCAAACTAAGGAGAGTCTGGCATTTAATTCTTTTCAGGCTGCAGAAGACGTCAATGTTACTTTTGAAGATCAACAAAAGATAAACAAATTTGCACGGAATACGAGTAGAATCACAGAGCTGAAGGAAGAAATAGATGTAAAAAAGGTACCGGAGATACGTATCTTACTTAAGAATAAAAAAGTTCTTCATGCACCGGCTCTTAAAAACTGAGTTCAGTAACTTGTGCTTATATCTCTCTGGACTCTGTCACAGATGACGTAATCTACTCTAGTTTAAGAAGAAAAACCTTGCTTAAGGGTGTGAGGAAACTTACAGATTGTTGAGAGGTGGGACTCGAGGCTGAGGTTCCAAGAGCAGGTCCCAGAACCATGTCTCAGAACACTTGGCTAGGAGGGAACTGCTGCTGTCCACGGCCAGCTGCCTGCTCCTCAGACCTAGGACACTGCTGCCGCCCAGCTGCCCCTGTAAATTGGAGGCCCTAGGCCCAGCAGCTGCTCATGCAGCTCCCTCATTGAAGTCCAGTTCAAGTGCAGTAGATTGGTGGAAAGCAAGTTCTTTGCTTCCTTCCTATCAGCAGGCACGGCTGAGCAGTGTAGATTCCCTTTTGCCTTTGCTTTACTTCTCCCGCAGGAAGGCAGAGCTCACAGTGAGAAACCGTTAGGTAGATATTTTGAGTGGCCACAGATCCTTGCTGTCCACCACAGTAGCTTGTAGCAATCTGGAAGAATCTGGAGATTAGTGTGTTAGTGAGCTCTTAAGTGCTTCCTTGTGAAGCCTTCTAGAATAGAAGGAAGTCTCGTTTTAGTGTGGGAATACCTTTGCGAAGGTCCCTCTGAGGGTTGGTGTCCCCAAATTAAAATGGGCTGACAGCCTCTTTCGGGGAATTTTGAATACATTGTTCATTGCTGTTCTCTTTTGCATTTGCAGAAACAACTCCAAAACTTAGAGGATGCTTGCGAGGACATCATGCTCGCAGATGACGACTGCTTAATGATACCGTATCAAATTGGTGATGTTTTCATTAGCCATTCTCAAGAAGAAACACAAGAAATGTTAGAAGAAGCAAAGGTATATTGAAGTCTTTCGCTGGGTGATGAAGTCTGACTCTTAAATTATGATTTGTATCCCTTTTTTTTTTTTTTTTAATATATTTTTATTGATTTTGTACGGAGAGGAAGGGAGAGAGATAGAGAGTTAGAAACATTGATGAGAGAGAGAGTCATCGATCAGCTCCCTCTTGCACACCCACCACTGGGGATATGCCCGCAACCAAGGTACATGCCCTTGACCTGAATCGAACCTGGGACCCTTCAGTCCCCAAGCCGACGCTCTATCCATTGAGCCAAACCGGTCTTGGCATGATTTGTATCCTTATAAAGAACACTAGAGGCCCAGTGCCTGAAAATTCATGCACTGGACTAGGGGGTCCCTCAGCCCAGCCTGCCCCCTCTCACAGACTGGGAGCCCTCAGGGGTGGGATGCAACCCAGCAATCAGGGGAAGGCAACGCCCCCCATCACACCTCTGCTGCTGCCACTGCCGGCAACGCAAGCCTCAGCTGGCCCTGGGTGGCTGGGGGTCGGAGGAGCCTGGAGGACTCTGGAGGCAGGCCATGCACCTGCTGTCCAGGCAAGGCTGAAGAGACTAGGCGCCACCATCTTGTGACTTTGGGCGCTGCCATCTTTCAGGGTGGGGCAGTCAATTAGCATATTCCCTCCTAATAGGCTGTGGGTGCTGCCATCTTTGAGGGCAGGGCAGTCAATTAGCATATTCTCCTTATTGTCTGTGAGCACCACCTTCTTTGTGATGGTGTGAGGGTCAATTAACATATTCCCTCTTTATTAGGTAGTATGTAGGAGGAGGGAAAATAATGAATGCTGGCTATTATCTCCTGGGTCTCATAGTGCTCCACATGTGCTCCGAATGCTTTGCAAGTGTGTTTATTTCATCCTGACAAGGACTCTGAGACAGGTTCCATTATTCCCGTTAGGGTTGAAGAATAGAGGCTTAGAGAGCTTTAGACACTTAACTCAAAGTGTCACAGGGATTCCCAAGTGATCTTGCGATTCCTAAGCTTGCGCTGTGAATTAAAGCACAGGATATTACAAAACAACAGAAAAACCACCCGTAATCTCACTCACTACCCAGAGGTGGCGGTCTATGATGAGCATCTCCATGCCTTTCCCTTACGTTCTTTCTTTTGCTTCACATTTTGGTCAGTTAACATCCCGGAAGTGTTTTCTCCTCCCGTTAGTGTTCTCATCCAGCAGATACTCTGGGAGCCTGCTCTGGCCGGGAACACGGACGTTAAGCACACCATGTTTGATGACCTTAAAGCCGTGTTGGTGGACGTTGACTCAGCTCACTATCCTCCTAATGTTTCCAGTGTTTTCCTGGAGTGATGCTCTAGTGAGCATTTTTATACCTTAATCTTTGCTCACATTTAGGAAATCCTTTAAGGAAATAATAGGGGAAGTGTAATTACTAGGTCAGAGTGTAAGTTCGTCGACGTGTTTGAGGCATTTGAGACTCAGCAGATTCATTTCCGATTCATGGGTCCTCCAGATATGCCTGAGAGGGCAGTCACATTGTGTATGAGAAGCTGACAGCAGTTAAATATTTTCTAATTCTCTTGAGAGTTGCCTAATTAGCTTGAATATTATTTAAAATGTTTGTCTTCCTGCCTTAAATGTCATAAAAGCACAGTTTTTCATGACTTAAACGCACATTTAATACACCTCAGGTAGAACTAACACTCCTGAGTCTGTCTGTGTGGAAACATGGCGATTCCCGTTACGCTGAAACCTTCCCTTTCACAGGGAAACGGTAATTCTGGTTTTCTGTGTAGCCGTCCTAAAGCGCGCTTGCAAGTATTTCAAGAGAAGTTTTTGTCACTGTTGTGAACATTCTCCCTCCACCCCAGCCCCACCCCCACCCCTGCCACACACATATATTGAACCTTTGTTTTGCAATTCATTCATTCCTTTTAGAAGTATTTATGGAGTGTAAGCTCTGTATTGGTTTCTGTCACTTCCTGGGTACAGGGACAGCAGAACACCTGGTCCCTGCCTGCATGGAGTACATAATCTAGAGGGAAAGGCTCAGAACATTTCTGCCCCGTTTAGACTATGAATTGTTATTCTTAGTTATTGGTGGTAGCATGAATTTTTGTCATTTCCTCTAGTTTCTTGTTTTTTTTTTTGTTTTTTTGTTTTTTTTTTGTTTTGTTTTGTTTTTTAAGGTAAAGACTGATTTTTTTTTTCTTTAAATGAATCTTTATTGTTCATATTATTACAAATGTTCCTCATCCCTCCCCCCCCCCCCATTGCTCTCCTCCACCAGGTTCTTACCCCACCCTCTGCCCTTTCCCCACCCCCATTGTCCTCATCCATAGGTGCACAGTTTATGTTCAGTCTCTTCCCACGCCCCCTATCCCCTTTTCCCCTAAGAATCGTCAGTCCACTCCCCTTCCATACCTCTGATTCTATTATATTCACCAGTTAATATTGTTCATCAGATTTTTTTTTAATTCCCTTGGTTTTTCGATTCACTTGTTGATAGTTACATATTTGTTGTTCATAGTTTTTATCTTTATTTTCTTTCTCTTCCAAAAGAACCCCCTTCAGCAATTCATATAATTCTGGTTTGGTGGTGATGAACTCCTTTAGCTTTTTTTTTTATTAGTGAAGCTCTTTATCTGGCCTTCAATTCTGAGTGATAGCTTTGCTGGGTAGATTATTTTTGGCTGTAGGTTCTTGCTATTCATCACCTTGAATATTTCTTGCCATTCCTGTCTGGCCTGCATGGTTTCTGTTGAGAAATCAGCTGACAATCGTATGGCTGCTCCTTTATAGGTCACTACCTGCTTTTCTCTTGCTGCTTTTAATATTCTCTCTTTGTCTTTTGCTCTTGGAATTTTAATTATGATGTGTCTTGGTGTGGTCTTCTTTGGATTCCTTTTGTTTGGAGTTCTGTGTGCTTCCTGGACTTGTAAGTGTAATTCTTTCACCAGGTGGGGGAAGTTTTCTGTCACTATTTCTTTCAGTATGTTTTTAATATTTTGCTCTCTCTCATCTTCTGGGACCCCCATAATTCTGATGTTGGTTTGCTTGAAGTTGTCCCAGAGGTTTCTTACATTATCTTCAACTTTCTGGATTCTCTTGCCTTCTTGCTTCTGCGGAGGAGTGTCTTCTGGTTCTTTATGTTCCAAATCTTTGACTTGATTCTTGCGATCTTCCATTCTGTTTTTAGGACTCTATAATATTTTTTATTTCAGACAATGTATTCTTTATTTCTTGTTGACCCCTTATTAGTTCTTGTTGATCCCTTATTAGTTCTTGTTGATCCCTTTTCATCTCCTCATAGGTCTTGTCGACCTTTTCTAGGAAATACTTGAAAAACCTTATAAGCGTGGTTTTGAACTCTATATCCAGTCTCTTCTTTTCCTCCATTTCTTTTGTTTGTGCTCTATTTCCTTGTCTGGGCATTTTCACAGCGTCCCTGAGTTGGTAGGGTGGCTTTGTGTGCTAAGGTGTCCTACATGGTTCAGTGAGTCAGCCTCCCAGTTACCTGAGGTGGACAGTCTTGGTGTAGCCCTTTGTGGGCTGTGTGTGCAGTCTTGTTGTTAAGCCTTGCTTGTTGTTGGTATCACTGGGAAGCGTTGATCTCCAAGCCAATTGGCTATGAGGATCAGAGGTGCCTCAGCTAGGAGGGTTTTATATTCTGCTTGGATGGGCGGAGTCTTGGGGTGGCACAGCCAAGCTTTGTTGAATCCAGCACAATTGGTTGCAGGCGCGCACACCTCTTTGGTATAGGTGCAGACAAGCTTTAGATTCCTGTCTGCCCCTCCCTAGGAGAGTCCTGCGGCAAATGAGAAAGCTAGCCACTGGAAGGGCTTCTGTGCTCCACTTGGATGGGTCGTAGTCTCGGGTGGTGCAGACAAGCTTTATTCAGCCCCTCCCTACGAGGGTCTGGTTTCTGAGTCCCACAGTATTGGCCGCTGGCTTCACACACCTCTGAGAGATATCTGCCCACTGCCCGACAGTCTGGCCTCTCCCTGTCTGGGGCCGTCGATCAGCGCAATAGGGTGGTTCTGTTTTCCTCCTGAACAAGACCAGCCGTGCATTAGCTGTCCGCCCTCTCTGCGCACAGGGAGTAAGCCTGTAGCAAACTCGGCCCGCCCTCTCCACAAGCAAACCAGCAGTGAACTCTGCGGCCGCTTTTTTGCGCGCACAGTTTTCTGTACCTTTACAGTTCCTGAGGTTCAGCGCGCCTTCTCTCTCCTTCCCAGATGGTACAGCCTCCCCTCAGCCAGCCATCCGGCGCCTCAGGGTGATGTTTCCCCTGTTTTTCAGTTCTAAATTCAAACTTGTGGTAGGCTGCATTCGGGTGTCTGCCCTATGCCGCCATCTTGTTGAGTCTCATTTCCTCTAGTTTCATAGTTACTTTATGGGCGGTTGGAGAGGCTCTGGCAGAAGCCATGCTTGTTTAGCAGAAGTGGCCACCATGTTTATGTAGGGTTCTTTGTTTATTCAGATATGGTAATTTAGAAATTACTTTTTTTTTTAATCTTATGTTTTTGAAATCAACCAAAACTGAAAAACAAGCTGATTTATCTTATAAGCAAATATAGATCCTGAATTAAAAATGCATATTTTCAGACTTTTGGTTGAGATCTAATGATCAGTATTATTGTATATATGTAGCTGCCTGTTGAAGTTTAGAAAGTTCTGACCTAAAAGTGTTCCTAAATATTTTTTTTTTTAAGCCAAAGGTGCTAGAAATCATCCAATTGAATAGAATTAAGTTTTTAAACATTTATTTTTTCCAGAAAAATTTGCAAGAAGAAATTGATGCCTTAGAATCCAGAGTGGAATCCATTCAACGGGTGTTAGCAGATTTGAAAGTTCAGTTATATGCAAAATTTGGGAGCAACATAAACCTTGAAGCTGATGAAAGCTAAACATTTTATATTACCTTTAAAATTTGTTTAATAAACTTGAATATTGTTTAAATGATAATTTTCCTTTTTCAGATGATATGGAAAGCAAAACTTTCTTTTTTAAAAAAGATTTCATTTATTTAATGGAAACTTGCCTATTTTCACATGTCTTGCTTATTTATTTTATATTTTTGAAAGAATACAGTATTCATCTATGTATTTTGCATAATGATTCTATCAAGTGTAGGGATTTTATGTCATGTTATTAAACTCAGTTAAGCAATCTTTTATGTTTCTATATTATCATTTAGAACATCTGTTGCAATTTTTATCAGAAAACTTAATAGTTGTGACGTGTTGTTTATATGTGTCTATTACAGTTGCTTTTTAGAGTTGGCGAAGGAATTCCAGAAAGATCTAATCCTATACCTGTCTACTCACTTCACTCCTGAAACTTTGTCATGTACTGAAAAATATGTATATATTTTACTTAAATACATGCAATATATATTATATATAAACATATATTTCACTTTCCTCTTACATACAGATATCATGGATCTTTGGAAAAGCGCCAGCTCATGCTGAGACTTGAGCTTCGTACAAAAGTAGAGCAGAACCACATAAGAATATTCTAGAAACCAAGAGATGTATCAATAGAAATGTTTAGTATGTTTTAAAAATTATGTTTCAGACTTTATTTTAGTGCTTTGTAATTAATTGGGGTTTATATTGATGATGATATAGAAGTTAAGCAGCTGTGTATTTAAAAATAAGGCTTTTTTCTTAAATAAAGAGTACATTTATGCCGGACAGCCCCCCAAAAGACATATGTTTTGGGATTTGCAACCTAATGGTATATTAACTTCCCAGCAGATGGCACTGATATATCAAAATACCAGTCGGAGGAGCATAATAAAAAATGAGGATATTTCTAGGATTAAGTGTACATAATTTTAAGAGGAAATGTCATTTTTTATTCTTCAAGACTAAGTATTGCATATTGTATTTTTTGATTAAATGTTTAGCAACAGTTCAGGCTTAAAGATAGAATTCTAAAATCCTTCATGACATAAAGGCAACTTTTAAATTGCTGCAAAATGTTCCCAAATAGTGATATTCAAATTCTGGAAAATGACAGGTGAAAGGATATTTTTTCTTGCATTCATTGGTTAGTGTTCATTTAGAGGCATGAGACTGGGGAGATGTCAGGTTATAGCAGGAAGTTTATCACTTAAGTTAGAACAGTTTCAGAAAACTAGGGCCAAGGTTACAAAGGTGGAACGTTCTGTGCCCTCAGAGGCCCAGGGAGAGAGCAGCCACGCCCTTCACCCAGGGAAGGGCTGCCTTCATCAGAGAGGGGCACGGACAGCCTGCGACATCCCTGCAGTGAGACAGCTCGAGACTGCACCCCACCCGTTCCCCCTCCAGAACCCAGCTGGTGTCCGCCCTGGGCCACATCAGCCAGAATCCAGATGTAGTCCATAAGAATCATTTTTTTAGGGCCTCAGATGGTGCAAACTGATGGGTCTGCAGGGGCTGGTGGGAGATCTGACTGAACCCTTTAGAGCCGTGGTCGGCAAACTGCGGTTCGCAAGCTGCATGCGGCTCTTTGGCCCCTTGAGTGTGGCTCTTCCACAAAATATACCCTGGGTGAGTCTATGTTGAAGAAGTGTAAGTTTAAAAAATTTGGTTCTCAAAAGAAATTTCAGTTGTTGTACTGTTGATTAACTTGGCTCTGTTGCCTAATGAGTTTGCCGATCACTGCTTTAGAGGTTTTACAATGAAGGCGCATATGACTTATGTAACAGTCATGTAACTGGCTGGGATTTAAAATTCTATCAGCATATTATAAACCTGATAAAACAAATATTGGGGAGGAGGGCAGATATTACACATTATTGCTAACTTCACACCTTGTTTTTCCGAGTGTCCCTGTGAAGTTCTAGATTGTCAGAAATATTTGATTCCCATTTTAAATTTATTTTGGAAGTGCCCCAAAGCCTCTTTGTTTTTGTTAGCAAGTTTATTGGGTGGCCGAGGGTTGGTAAACAGAATCTGAAGAGGTCACTCATATCCTGCTCCAGCCAGTCATTGGCACTCAGGTTTATTTTTTATGGGAATCCTGATTTTTATGTACAATCACTATTTTTAGAGTGTTACTTTTTTAAAACAATTGGAGCTAAACAAAAGCTTTTTACAATAGAATAGAGTTGACCAGGAGGCTGGGGTGTGGGAAGTGGAGGGCACAGTATTTGGCATGATACCCAGGCTTAGGGAGCGGGTCGCAGGCAGTTTGCGCTCAGGTGTGAGCGGTGCAGGCTGCTCACTTCCTTCCACCCCGTCCCCACCCTGCGCCTGTGCAAGCCTCCAGTGCCCTAGTCCACAGCGGCTGACTAGGGGAGGGAGGGAAGGACAGCCATTTGGGATAAAGTTTTGACAGCTGGAGGCCAGGGCAGTCTCTGAAGGGCTTTGACTGAAAGGCAACACGCATGATTGGAGCAGTATTTTAAGGCAATTTGGTGGTTGGTAGGTGGGTTTTACTGCAAAGAGGTGGAGGTAGGGATACAGACATCACTGCTTTCCCTGTTCCACTGGCAGAGAAAGGAAAGGAGGCTGGACTTAGAAGGTGAATGTTAGGTCTTGGCGGGCGAGACAAGGTGAAGGGAGGAGCAGAGGCGGTACACAGCTTTGCAAAACATGTTCTTTGGTTCTTACAGTTAAAAAAATATATATTTTAATTTGTTGTTACAATAGAATCAGGTGATCTCACATAAAATTTCAGTTTGGCAGCCAGCAGAGGAGCTAGAGACCCGTGGGGGATTACTAGACATGCAGTTTCCCCAGGACAGCCCTGAAAAATGTTTCCCCAGTTGGTGTGATGTTGACAGTGTGACAGACATAGCCTTCAACTATTTCATAGAAAGCTGGTGGTTTTTGTTTTTTTTTTTTTTAATGTTTATTGAATTTATTAGGGTGACATTGGATAATAAAAATGTATGTTTCAGGTATACAGATCTATGACACATTACCTGTATATTGATTGCATCATGCATTCACTGCCCAAGATCAAGTGCTGGAAACCACACATCCCCCCCTTTCCTCTGTTCTACTCCCTCGCCTCCTCCTTTCCCTCTGGCAATCAGCATACTGTTGTTGGTGTCTATGGTTTTGTTGTTGCTTAATCTTCTCACCCAGCCCCCAAACTCAGTAAGATAACCCCTCAATCTCTTCTCTGTTTCTCTTTTGTTATTTATTTTGTTCATTAGACTCCACATATAAGAAACCACAGGGTATTTGTCTTTCTCTGACTGCCTTATTTCCCTCTGCATAGTGGAGACCTGGGTTTAACAAGCCCTCCAGGTGGTTTTGGGTCAGCTGAAGACCTAGACTGGCTCAAAACTTCCGAAGAAAGTCAGAGCTGTCCTTAACTCTGGGGGGAGGAAGATGTGATGGAGGAGGCAAAGGCAGGTGTGCTACGTACACCCAATATGTGATGCTCAACAAAGGCCGTTTGGAGTGTGATGCCATTCACAGTAACAGGTGTTTACACAGCTCTGTCATGCAGTACAAATGCAACCCTGACTGCATCTGTGGTGAGGTGCTACTGACAATTTGCTGCATCACTTTTAGCATGTTTGTGTTTCAACCTAATGTACACTGAGTGGCCAGATTATTATGACCACCTGACGTTTGTAGGCAAATTAGCCGTATGCTGCATCGTATGGGATATGGAAGCCGAAGGCCTGTTGGAACACCTTCACTGTCTGTAGTTACCAGGATGAAACATCTCCAATTCGCACAGGAATACAAGGATTGGACAGTGGAGCATTGGAAAAAATGTGGTCTGATGAATCACATGTCCAGTTGCATCATGCAGAAGGCAGAGAGAATTTCATAAAACAGCATGAAAGCATGCACCCCCATACATGAGTACAACCTTTCAAGCTGGTGGGGGCATTATGGCTTGGGGCATGTTTTCCTGGCATGATTTGGGCCCTTTAATTCATATGAAACAACGTTTGAATAGCACAAGTATCATTGCTGATCAAGTTCTTCCTGTCATGTTGATGGCGTATCCCAAAGGAGATGGCTTCTTCCAACAAGACAATGCGCCATGCCACGGTGCAGAAGTGGTTTCAAGAACATGAGGGAGACTTGACCTTGGTTAGGTGGGCCCACAATCACCAGATCTCAATCCAATTGAGCATTTGTGGGACGAAGTTATAAGAGCCATCAGGCAGCTGGTTCCACAACCATCAAATCTCACAGACTGGACAGTGCTATTCATCAGGCATGCTGTCAAGATTCCTCGCTTTCAACATCTCATGGAGTCAATGCCAAGAAGAATCGCTAAAGTATTGAAGGCAAAAGGCGGCCCAACGAAGTACTGATGGGGTGGTCATAATAATCTGGCCACTCTGTATATAAAGAGCTAGGTGGCATCACGACCAAAATGGTGACCAGTCACCGTGAAGTGCATGGAGCACCTTTCCATCTCCCTCCCCCTACCCCTCCTCCAACCTCTGACCGCCCCCAAGCCGCTCACCATGAGGAGGGGCTGGTGGTGGGGTGGGACGGGAGACTGTTGAGCAGTGGTGGCTGGCTGCTTAGCTGAGTGACCTTAGCGGAACAGTCACCCAGGCAGCAGTGAGCTTTTAAAACCATAATGAATCCGGGGGGAGTTGCGTGGAGCGTCCAGTGGCAAGCTTCACAGGGCGGCAGCAAGCTTCGGGGGGCAGTTGGGCGAGGGGAGCCTCGTGGAGCAGTGGAGGGGCTATGAGCATCACGGAGCCTCCTGGGCGGGGAGCACCACATAGCATCAGGGGAGGCAGAGGCCTTGCCATGGAGGCCAGGCTAGGCCTAGGGACACTAGCACATGATTTCATGCACGTTGGGTCTCTAGTTTGACATAAAATGACATTGTATTGCTCCATTTTTAGATGCAGGAAAACAGCAATACCCAACAATTCTTTATCCAAGATTATGCCACCACCACCCCCCCCCCCCCCACACACACACACACACACACACACTGCATTAATGTACTGGGCAGAATTTAAAGGTTAGATTCAAGATTTGGTATAAAACATTTGGAGAAGAGCAATTAGGACTGTGTGTGTGTGTGTGTGTGTGTGTGTGTGTTCCCAGTAGCTGGTTGTCTGGAAAAGCTGCCAGTCTGATACCTGGAATAATTCTAATGATTTCAGCACCAAGACTAGCATGAGTCCTTATTGTACGCTGCGCCGCCCTGAACGCTTTTTTATGAGTTAATTCCTTCCTTT